AGAACTTAAACATAATTATCAAATTAGTGATATTTTTCAAGATGCAATTACTATTATCCATTCTTATCAACTAAGACAATTAATTGCTTGGTTTTGAAATTTAGGAAACGTCTAAGGGGACAAAATATAAAATAAACATGAGGAAATTTGTAAAGATAATTTTTATACTTATACGGATCATTTTCCTCTTTAACAAATGAACCAAATTAATGAATCAAATGACTTACCGTGTTAATCTTCTAATTTACCTATATTAAAAAAAATGACCAAAAAGAGGATGACACTAATCAAGTATTATTTAAAAAAAAATGTTTGATTATGTACATGAAAATTTTACTTTACTTAACGAATACACTTTTTTTCAAATAAAAGAAAAGAAGAATATTAATTAGGTCATATTATAGATCAAGAAACTTATAAGGATGTTGATAAAATCCAGATATAATATTTATTTATGATTTCGTTTAAAATCGCTGAATAATATATGTAAAGGTTACCACCTCATGAACTAAATATGTAAAATTAGAAGTACAGTCATTTTATTAAGAAACTTAAGTATATCAGATATGGATATTTTAATTATATAAGTACAATACAGAAGGTAAAAACAATGAATGGAAAAAAATTGGAAAAAAGTATGTATTCTGAGAAAAACCTTAAATACCTTTCCTGCCATTTATTTTATATGGATCTTCATTTCCTTCAGTTTCAGTTTACGAAATTCAAAAATATTTATGGCTTTTGCGATGGTAATTTATCTTTCTTGAAGTCTAAGATTCAATAATATTGGTCTATATTTCAAGAAACTTTTTTTTCTATAGTTAACTTTATGTAGCATTATTCAGATACAAGACTGGAAATTATATATTTGTAAAATAAAACTCCTCTCTACACATATTTTTATAGACTTTTAAGCATTTTTTAATTCTTAGGCCTCTATAGTTGATCCACAATTCTAAATTTTGTGAGTTTGATACAAGATTTGCGACTACCACCCTTTCAAAAACTCTTATAAACATATTTTCATGGACGTTAAAACATTTTTTATTTTTCTAGCCAGCATATTGAATCTGCGATTTTATATTTTAAAATTCTACTATGAGATTTATAACAAGCACCCTAAGAACCCCCGATGTACGTATTTTCATAGACTTTTGAACATTTTACCTTTGTTTGGCCACCGTATTAAATCCACTATTTTAAACTTTGAATTTCTAATATGAGATTTTTATTAGGCGACTTAAAAAATATGAGTATACTGATTTTCAGAAAATTTAATAATTTGCTGGTTAAACAGACAATAACGTAGTCTATGACTAGTCGAGGAGGGTGCCCTTAGAGGTAGTTTGCACCTCCTAAATAATTTTTGATGTGAAATATCTATTGGTGCGCTTGGGGGTTCGACCAACGCGATGAAGCGACCGTGCGATGGCACGATCTCCAGTTTAACTCGGCTCGGCTTGGCTCGGCTCGGCTCTCTGTCTCTTTCTCCACGCGCTTACTACCACCCCTCTCTCGTTTGTGAAGTGTACTATCCGTATACATATATAACTATATAGAAGAGTATATAATAATTAAATATCATACATGTATTGAACATATAGCATATACATACGTACGCATACATAATATATATTACATGTTATGACTGTGTAAATAAAATTTTCAAATTTTACTGACTCCAAGAATCGAACCTTATCTTTTGAATTGGTAGTCGGGGATCAAATCGATTGTGCTATGCAGCAAGTCGATTCAATCTTCGTTCTTATTATTTATGGATACCAACCAAGAAACTTGAGATCTAATAGAATCGATCTATAATTAGGCGTTTTTAACATTGTCTATAATTGAGCCTGCCACTTTCAGAAGAAATAGTTATGATTATTTTTGAAAGGTCTAATAATGTTAAAATTGAGTAAATTGTGTTTCAAAGTTCGTTTTGCTTATATCTTCTAACAGTTAAATGTACAAAAAAAATAAAAACACGAGTGTGTAGGGCGAAAAATTTTTTATCCATTCGTACTTTTAATTTCGTTTTGACAAGCGCAAGATATTAAAAAAAATAATTAATAAATAAATAAAAAAGGCATTTTGGCAGTACCTATAAACGTAAGCGAGATAGAGAGAGCCACTGATCGTCTGCTGTAGCGCTCGCTCTCTCTCTCTCTCTCTCCCTCTCTCTCTCTATTGTATTAAAAAGGTAGGCCTTTTTCATTGCTTTTTTCAATATTTTGCGCTCGTAAAAAATGATGAATTAATACTAAAATTAGTATCATTTTTTCATCGTTTAAAAAAAATTTCTTCTTTGTGAACAGGATTATTTTAAAATATCAATAATTGACCATAATCTAAAGTTTTCCTGGGGTCTTCCAATTGTGTTTGTTTAAACTTAATCTTAACCCAACTTCAGTAAAGAGCTAATGAAATTGGCGCACGTGCGCAACTACGCACAGTAAACAGGTATCCGAAAAGAGATAGAGGGACAGAGAAAGTAATACACACGAAAGTTTATTAAACTAATGTATGTACCTATGTGTAGGTAGGTAGTATAGATACTCTTCGCCATGTATTATTATTCTTTCTCGTTTTGGTTGTTTATATGTTAATAAACAAAAAAAATATAAACATAATTTACTTTTTCTTAATCTATAATTTTCACTGATACAATACATAGTCGTAAAAACTGTCTTTTGAACATAAAAATATGAAATGAAGATTGTTTAGAGTTGAAAAAATAAATACTTTCCCTACCTCACGAGTTCTTAAGAGACTGGTTTGCGCTCGGTAGAAAAAATAGGATTCGCCATATAAGCGACATTGCTCTGTGGCTTCCTTACGTCCCTCGAGCCCTGTTTCGCAGGGCTCCGGGGCCGCAAAATAGCCCTGGAGACAATGGCACTTATCTGACAAAAACTACTATTTTCATCATAGACAACCAAATCTTACTGAGTTCAATAACATTTTCTTTAATGTTTCACATCCGTCGTGCGTCCCGAGAACCACATCTGGTTATTAATAAAAAATTATTTGCCTACTGTGCGCTGTAGTTTAAAGTGCCTCGCACAGTTGTTAATTGTTTTTACTAATATTGGCTCACCGCCTACTTACTTCTATAATGCCTTTCATGAACCACTACCCACGAACCCCGTAGTCACTACCTGGTTCAGTCTAAGAAGACACGATATGCACCTTGCGACCCAAGTTAGTACTAGCTACGTGTCAAGAAGCAACTAATACTCGTCCTCAAAAAGCCACTCATCCAAAGTAGGGGGCCCGAAGACACATTGCCATCACTGTCTCACACCCCTTGCACATAATAAAGACATAATATAGCCACTATATAAACAGACAAACCGTACTTACCAACGTTCTCGCGACCTTTTGTAGCCAAAGTGCTTCTGGTCCTGGATGTTGGCTCGAGACCTGGTCTTTTCAAAATCTCAGTAGTCGCTCGATATCACCCAGCCAGCCAAGGTCCAATAACTCTCTTCCCTGTCAACGACATCCACGGAAAAAAGCCAAGGCTAATGAAAAGGCACACAACAAACGCTTTTAACTACGCTCCAGATATCTAAATTGCTCAGCAACAGAGATAACTCAATAGGAAAACTCAACTCTGCTATTTTAGACCAGCTACTTCTCCTTACTTGATACCATAAAAACTTCCCACAACCAACTCTTGATTGATCAGCTACCGTTGATCAACGATTGCTGATTGGCCCATTACGTACCAGCACCCTTTTTCACTTATTTAATCATCCCTTAACTCTTACTGCTATATTAATTTAACCTATAAATAAATATTTGGAAACTATAACTTTCAATTCTATTCATTTTGGATTAAATGTAGTAGTAATGAATGAATCAGATCTACTACCTTTTCTCACTATAGCCAGCGCATTTTGGTAGTGTTGCTGTATGTATCTCAAAGTTTTAATGCAGGTAGATAGTAAGATAGAAAGATTGGCAATTTTTGCTTTTTTTGAAATTTTTAAAAATATTTTAAGCACTATTGATCACTGCATCTAATAATCCTTCATAATGTTGAATTCTTAATTTTTTTTTATTGCCGTCAAATAGTTGAAACGATTATTTTCAATCATAACATAAGCATTTAGAAAAAATTGTTGAGTTAATCTACCGGTATATAATATAGGACGGACTGAAATTTAATTTGCTAAGTCTGNGATAGGTCTCTCACATAAATATTTACTTCTGTGCTTGGACGATGAAATTTAATCAAATAAAATCAATCTCATAATTTTAGCTGTACTTCCAAACAAAACAAAAACTACTATTTAAAGCAGTCTTAAAAAATATGATTTATGGACCTTACGGTGATCTTAAGGGAGTTGGGTCGCTCCCGCGGGGAGGTGAAGGGGAGCACGTGTATTTAATATTTTAAGCACTATTGATCACTGCATCTAATAATCCTTCATAATGTTGAATTCTTAATTTTTTTTTATTGCCGTCAAATAGTTGAAACGATTATTTTCAATCATAACATAAGCATTTAGAAAAAATTGTTGAGTTAATCTACCGGTATATAATATAGGACGGACTGAAATTTAATTTGCTAAGTCTGTGTGATAGTATGTATGAATATTATTATGAAAGATTAATTTGTTTATTATTACTATTCAAATAATTGTGTAAGTAATTCGTATTCGATTCTAAGTTTTCTAATAAGAACAACAATAGAAAAACCATGGGATCAACAAAATAAGACAATTTATTTGAACCTATTTGCTTAGGACGATTTTTCAGTACGTTTTATTGGCTCACGCAGACATTAAAGTATTCTAGTAAGGCGCAATCTAAAATTATAATAGCACCCCGTCATAACATACATAATAATAATGTTAAACTCAAACGAGCATTAGAATGTATGTCAAAATGTTAGATCAGACTTTTAATTATTAAATTTTATAAGCTAAGATGTAGGTAGTTCTATTATGTGCGAAATTAAAATAAAAAATAACTGAACTGTTTATTTTTACCTTTATGAATTCCATTACTAAAAATAAATGATTATTTGTTTCCTGTTCTTCTATTAAGCTGATGATATTTGGATGACCAACTTGTCTTAAAATAGCGACTTCTCTTGCTAATAAGGCTTCTTTTCCTTGGCATTTAAGTTTATCAATTATTTTTAATGCATAGTCTCTCCCAGTAGACCTACAAAAAAGTAATCAATAAAATAAATATAAATAATGATATTTTTTGAAATAAGCAAATACTGGTAAGATTCTGTTTAGTGTTTGGCTGTTTTTTTGTAAAAAGATTAACTTATACAGATAAGGCGTATAAGCTTTAAGCATCTTAATGTTATCTATAATTGTAACAT